TTTGCACTTGGTAGCTACGGTCAGTGCAACTGGACAAAATTTCATGATATTTGGTACCTATTAATCAAGTCAATTCAAATTTTCCTAGAATTAAAAAAAAAAAAACTTATACACAGAGGGCTTATTAAAGACAATCAAAGTGAAATTGACCTTCGGTGGACCTTAAAAACGGCGTCAGGGGTCTATGGACCTCCGGTCGGAATTAGGTTCTCGGGAGAGCTACGTGCGGCGATGTATACAGTTTACACACGGTAACTACCAAGAAGTTTCGGAAAAAAGGTTTGTTACACATTTTTCGGTCTCACTCCCATCCGCTCAGAGCGCGTAACGCGCGATAAGTAACTTAGAGGAAAAATGTAACAGGTACGTGTGACCTTCAGCAACCTTCAGCAACCACCTTCAGCAACCTTCAACCTTCTGGTGGTCACATCTGCAACCAGCTTTAGTCAATCGGTCGTCCCAATGCTCCTTCACGACAACGCGCGACCCCATACTGCGCAACACACAGTCTCCAAGCTGCAAGAGCTGGGGTTAGAAGCTCTCCCTCATCCACCATACTCATCAGACCTTGCACCTACCGACTATTACTTTTTCCAAAATTTAGACAACTTTTTAGTGGGTAAAAAATTCAATTCCCGAGAGGCAGTACAAAATGCCTTTGAAGAGTTTGTTGCCTCCCGTCCAGCTGATTTTTACAGGAAGGGCATCAATAAACTGCCAATGCGTTGGGAAAGATGCGTCGATTGCATGGGTGATTACTTCGAATAACAGAAATAAAAAAGTTTGAAAAAATAAGTACTTTCACTTATTGCATACAAAACGGCAATTTCATAGGTAAAGACCATTTAGAAATATATATGTTTAGAAGCAGTTTGGTTACCATAGCACAGGCTCTGCTTAGTTTGGGGTTAGACTGCCGTGTGTGAGATGTGTGAAGATATTATTTTTATCATATTAAAAAAAAAAAGTAATATAATTCTCAAAACAAAATGAGTGGGAGTGGTGGGACAAACAAATAATCCCCTACTACAATGTAGTTCTACCGATGTGCAAAGAAAACTCTTCCTACAACACAAAGGTCTGCACACAATCTGTTTCGCTGAACAGTAAACTTGACGCAAAAACTATCGCTTGAAGAGAGTTATTACGCGACTACAAGTTTCTCACAGTCTTCAAGCCGTGGGAGACGACGAAGTCTTGAAATCTATCCACAGGCGTCGATTCTCTAGTTATTTTAGACACTTACAAAACAAATATTTGCCTGGCCTGTTGGTCTAGTAGTTAGTGACGCTGACTACTAAGCCAGAGGTTGTGGGTTCGATTCCCACTAAGGATAAATATTTGTGTGATGAGCACGATCATCTATTCTGTGTCTGGGTGTATTTTATCTTTAATACTAGTAGGTCTGTATTTAGAAATATTTAAGTATGATTATCAGCACTATGGTTACTACAGCACGACCTCGGCCTAGTTTGGGATCAGACGGTATTATCTATGTATATGTAAATAAGTAATAGTTTGCTGTTTTATGGTAGGTGTTTGCTTACTATTACAAATAAGTAATTTTTTATCGGAAATATAACATACAACGTCATCTAACTTCAATGTACCAGAGCTTGTACTATGAAAGTTAAATTAACTGATAGAATACTTAGATACTTTTTTTTTGTAAATTCACACATATTTTACATAGAAAATACCCAAACTCCAAATCGTTCGATGAACGGGTCGGACCAAAAGTTTGGTCCAACTCGTTCATCGAACCCAAGACCTCAACACAGCAGTAGCATACGCTACCACTGCAACACCGAGGCAGTCTTTATACGCTATGTTAGACTAGTTTTAGACCCGACGGGGACACTGTCAAGGAGCGTCGCATCCTACTGCGAGTGTGTTTAGGCTTAAGAAAGTTTTTAGTTTAAATTAAGTGGTATACAGGGATATCTGTTCCAAATAGAACTAATCGCTTAGCAAAATGAAGTTGAGTTGAGTAATAGGCCCTCTGGCACAAGCCACGTTTTATTTTGGATTTAAATTTGTTAATACTTAGAAAGTCTTGAATATTATTTGGAATTTTATTTTAAAATCGGACACATTGACCTGAAAAGACTTGTTTATCTTTTTGAGCCTAAAGGCGGGTACTAAAAGTTTATTTAGATTTCTGGTATTTGTAGAATGTACATCACTTCTTTTCAAAAAGCTATCTTTGTTTTTATGAACATATATTACATTTTTATAAATATATTGACTTGCCACTGTCATTATGTTTATTTCTTTAAATTTGAACAACGATTGCCTAAATTATAAAGTACTCGAATCCCTCTCTTTTACAGTACAAAAATAGTTTGAATGTCGGTAGCATTCCTCCACAGTAGAATACCGTACGACATTATGCTATGAAAATAACCGAAGTAAACAAGTCGTGCTGTATCAATATCAGTCAACTCTCGAATTTTTCTTACTGTGTATGCTGCTGAGCTGAGTCTACTTGAAAATTTTTCAATATGTGGGCCCCACTGTAGCTTAGAATCTAGTGTTATACCTAAAAATGTCGTAGTGTCCACAAGGTCTAACCCGATATCCTTAATCATAACAGTAGTTTTTACTGGCTTGACGTTTATCGTAGTGAAACGTATACACTTAGTTTTTTGTTCATTTAAAAGCAAATTGTTGACGTCAAACCAATGAACCACTTTCATACTTCGTTAGAAAAAAGTACTATCCTAGTTTTTTCCTGTTGGGAGAAAAGATCATTAGATTTTAGTTGTAAGGAATTAAAATCCTAGGAGTAGCGATATTTAGTAGTCAACCGTAATCACATATCATCTGGCATTTGTTAATTTATTATGTGTATATTTTTATTCAGTAGTGACTTTCTGAAATTTCCATTTAAAGTAAAGTATATAATAAATTATACAGACGAATACTGAAGCATGGTTTACAAAATCGAAACTGTAGCCTTTGCTACGAAGCTACGTGAGGCCTACGCAAAGCCTACGCGTCTACACAAATAAGATTTCCACTATTAGTATAATTTTACAAGAATAAGTTATTTTTTTTATGTTATGGTTTTTTATATTATACATTCAACGTGTGTATACTATAATCAAGTAACACGATAATTGTATTTCTATATATTTTATATACCTCTCCGATATTCAACTATCCGAGAGGTATATAAATTCTTAGATATAATGAAATGTTATAGAGATAAGTCAATCTAAAAATTTAAGCTAGGTCTCGGGCTCGATTTTCGGTTTGGACCAAATGTTTGTATGATCTGCAAATATTTGTTTCGGAGTTTGGGTGTTTTCTATGTATAATATGTATGTATTTACAAAAAAAGTATATAAGTAATCTATCAGTCATTCTAGTTTTCATAGTTGCGTGGCGTTGTGTGTCAGATGTCCGAAAATATTATTATTACCCAGAGACCTTGAGGGTATTGTGTTTAACTGACAAACTGAACTTTATAAATAGCTAAAGGAAACATTAACTTTTATAACTCATAATAAATTTCATTTCAATCAGTGAATCGTAAAAAACATGCTTTGATTATAATGTTATTTTTGACAAAGATTGCTAGTAAAATATTGTGATGTCGTAAGATTTCTTCAATCAAATAGAATGAAAATAGGATAAATACACTATACATTTCACTTTTACTAGTGAATTATGTAAATACTTTAGGCCTTTGAATAATTTTAAGACCAGAAACAGAACAGTTTTTTTACAAGTCTCGTGATGAGTGTTAAAATTCTTCATGACAGTTTAACTGGACTTTTATTTTTAAATTTATATTATTTTACTTAAGAACCTCATATGAATATTTTTATTATAATTTGATAATAATCTGAGGATAACTTAATTTGATTGACAATTCGGTAATGTATAGAAGGGCTCTTAAAAAAGTAAGCTGGATCGGGGACCTCTTCTGTTTTAAAAAACGAACGAAAAATAACCGTGAAATAAGTTCATCCCAAATCAACAACTAATTTTAATAGGTAACTATTAAAATTAGTTGTTTTGCTACTTTATTGGTACACAAAACTGTTAGTGCAGTCATTGCATATTAAATTGGTTTACTCATATAACGAAAATAACATTCAGTTTATAATTAAAAATATTTACTAGAACTCATAAACCTTGGGTTAGACGTTCAGTTGTTTGAAATAAAAGTATATTACTCGTAGATATTGTTCAGAACACGTTATTTGTGTGTTGGATGTAGCATGTGTATGCACTTGTAGATTAGCATCTATAAGTGCATTCTTTGTTACTTTGATGCAACAAAAGCGATTAATAGTCAAAACTGAAGATTCTACAAAGATCGAACACCCGTAAACTGGTTTTCACATGAACATACAGAGATATAGAACAGCGCAAAGTGACATTCAGGACTATAGAGCCCTTTCTGTAATTTGAATTGGCTTCACTATCTGATAGCCGCAAACAATTCAAATTTCTTATGGCTTTCAAACACATAGTAAATATAACACTCCATTATTATCTAGAAGGTTTTATCATGAAATGAGGTTGCTTGTGTAAAATGCGTCCCATGTAACTAGAATTCTGTAAAAAACCTTTTAATTTCTTTAAAGATCATACACGTCTTTAATGGAGCCGTCAACAATCAACATAGAAGCATTTCTTTGCTAGAAAAGTAGTGCAATTGTTGTGAGAATAGTAGTTCCGCCTTGCTGAGAAAAAATATACCGCCTTCAGAAAAAATGTTTTAGAAACTTTCATTTTGTCTGCTAAAGCTTCATTGACTGATTTTTAGGAAATTTTGTGGTCAGATTGTTAGATATAGTCTTCTTTTTCTACAAATTGACCATTTGCATTTTTTGTTCAAACGCGCGATGGTATTTAAAGTAATAATAATAATATTTAACGAATGATATTTCAAGGTTAAATATTGCTTTTGCTAGTTTTACAATGGAGACTTTTATTATAACGTTACACAATCGCCAGGCACAAACTACGATCATATCGTTGGCATGAAAGTATCTGAAAAAAACCTGTCAAGTGTTAAACAAGCAATGGTTAGCTAACCATATGTTATGATGGTTTCATTGTTAGATACAGTTTTGGTGCCATATTTGTTTTTACTTCCTTTGGATTTATCGCAGTGTATAACATTCTAAAGGTGATTGGTCTCTTCTTAGGATATGTGATCAGTTTTTTTTGACAAAGCAGCAGCAAGAAGGAAGAATGTACATTTTGGTGTTGATGTTTACGTCAACGCCAAACATTCAACTGCTTTTTGCTTCGAGACTTATATCGGACTCACGCTGACATTTGCTCCCAGCTCACGTAATCCTGATATTCCTAAAAAGACTGGCCGGTTATCACATGCATAAGTCGGTAGGCGCCAATCCTTCATGATGGGTCTTACTGAAATAACAGTGGCGTGCTCAGCGCTTGATCGCCTATCTCGTTCTTTAGACTATGTCATTGAAACTTGTACTAGACAACCTCAATTTCGTGGGGATTTGATTTCAAGATCCACTCCTTGTGATAACTATGAGACGATTAAATGGTCTTCGTTCGTCAAGGTCTGGTCCTGCAGTTGCAGCCTGCTTGTCTACTGTATTTAATGGCTACAGCAAGCCATGTATATTAACAAAGTTTGAATATTGCGTACTATCCTAAATGTAAATGATTTTTGATTAATATTCGTTTGGCTGCTTATTAAATATTATTAGTCATGAAATTTTTCCATATACATAATCATATTCGATTCCGAAGAGAAACACTTAACATGTTTTAATGTATTACTAATACATGCTGTACTTGTACTTAAAGATCAAATTATAAGAGTTTTCTAAATCGGGACTAAACACGAGAATATTTACGTAGGTACAAAAAGGAATATGTGACAATGACAAGGTTTGATCGAGTCGGTTACGGTTACGGGTATGTGATCCAGACCTGCTGGAGATATTATACACGACCTATTATAATAAGTGTTGTTCCGTGAGGGGATCGAAATCAAAACACTCAGTGTAGTAGGAAGCGGTGAGGTGACGTTTAAATACGCCAACCGAGTCGGTTACGAGTAAGTAAGTCGTAACCGAGTGTAGTCGGTTAAGTATTTAACACGTTTTTGCTTACCTCTTTGCGGCTACAGGAGAGGGTATATTATGTATTTTTTTCTTGCTTCACATTTTGTGGTTTGAAAACCATTAGTTGCGACCACCAAAAGTGCGATACATATTCCTACCTTGTACTTGTCATTTAATACTAAATCTTTACATAACAACAAAAAAATACATATTTTTGAACGTACCACATGCCAAGTATACCAGAAGATACTGCCAATTTTACTGACAATCCGTCAGTTAAAACATCTCCAACTGTATACCGCGCCAGCACGTTTCATAATAGATATTGTTAAGTAACAACATAGATATGAGATATTGTTTAGCCTAAAACTGTCAAAATTATTAGCGTTCATTGCCAAATTCCGGACCTACTTGTTGATTGCTAAATTCAAGGTGAAGGATTAACGACGTTAAAGAATACAGAAGATGTAGAAATTGGGTTATTTTAAAAATATTTTTCTATTTGGACTATTGTCATTGAAGGAAATTTATCGTCTTATAAACGGGATCTGTAGAAATGGTGGGTTACCAAGCTAAGTGAAGTATTTCTCAGGAATGTTTTCAAATACCGGCACTGTTTTGTAATAGTCACTATAATCCGCTAATAACATTGTTGATTGAGTAACTTGTCTGTGTAAATAACTTTGAGTTGATTACTTGTATTATTATGCACCATTAATTAGTTGTATGCACGAATATGTTTAGTATGTAATTATCTGTATGGGCTAAATGTTTATATGATCTGCAAATATTTGTTTCGGAGTTTGGGTGTTTTCTATGTTTAATATGTATGTATATATATATATATATATATACTATGAAATTAGGTTGACTGATAAAATACTTATATACTTTTCTTTTACAAGCTCTGCTTAGTTTGAAACTGGATGTCTGAAAAAAAACGCGCTCACGATGGGCATTAAATACATTTATCGTTTGCTTTATCTCTGGACCGAAACGACCTTGATAAACCTTCAAGAAAAAAGCGTGGTCAGGTCACCCGTCTGCTGGTTTACCTCCTATTCCATAAAAAAAAGAAAAACAAATACCTTTGATATACCTAACGTCACGACCAGGTTGCACTGGCCGTAGTGCCTGTGACTGGTTAATTCCCGTAAACATAATTATATGTTAGGGAACACGATAGTTTATAAGCTATGTATAATAAGTACATAAACCATATTTATGGATATCTTTACATAGTTTGTGGTCTAGATAACGCTGTTCAGTGTCTCCAGAATAGTATGCATTTGACTTTAATGTTGATTATGGTTCAAGAGTTGATCATACACGTGGTTGTTGTAGGCAAAAATGTTTGTGATCAACATATTATCACTTTAGCGGTTGATAAATCGAAAACACTTTTATGATGGCGCCGTTCCAATATTTAGGTAGACCTACATTTTTCTAAATAAATGACGATAGTTTGGAGTGAAATATATGACATATAAATAGTTTTTACTATACGTAAAATGTGCGGCTCGTAGTTCATCAGCAGCCCATAATAGTTCACTGCTGGACATAGATCCTCCTCAGAAGGAGATTTTGGCCTACTCTTCCACGCTGGACAGACGGGTTGGTATAGGGTTTGTGTCAAGTCTCCTTGGCCGGAGACGACGGGGAGCACGGGGAGGATAATGTTCCGCCCGTCCGGGATTCGGAGGTAGGGGCGGCTGTTCTACGGATCCGTTCCAAGAACACCGCCCCTGGGCCAGACGGGGTACTGGCCCGAGTGCTGGCCCTGGCAGACCGCCTCGTGGAGGTGAAGAGCGGGAAGCTGGTCCTATTAAGGAAGCCGGGACGGCCTGCCGATTCGGTCGCGGCCTATAGGCCCCTCGTGCTGCTGGACGAGGCGGGTAAATTGTTTGAGAGGGTTCTTTCTGCCCGCATCGTCCGGCACCTCTGCGAGGTGGGCCCCGATCTGTCGGACGCCCAATTTGGTTTTCGGGCGGGGCGTTCGACAGTCGACGCCGTGTTGCGCCTGAGGGCCGTGACCGAAGAGGCCGTGAGCTGTGGCGGCGTGCTGTTGGCAATGTCATTAGACATCGCCAACGCATTCAATAGTCTGCCATTCAGCTGCATCAGGGAAGCACTCCACTATCATGGGGTGCCAAAGTACCTGAGGCGGCTAGTGGCAGACTATTTAGAGGAGCGTACCGTCGTGTACGAGGACCGAGAAGGTAATCTGAGGTGTCGGCCCATGTCGTGCGGTGTTCCACAGCGGTCTGTTCTTGGACCCCTCTTGTGGAACATAGGGTACGACTGGGCCCTTCGCGCCGATCCCCCCCGGGCTGGGTGTAATCTGTTACGCAGACGATACCCTGGTGACAGCCCGGGGGGCAAACTTCCAAGAGGCGGCGCGCCTGGCCACAGGGGGAGTCTCCCTGGTGGTCGGGCGCATTGAGGCGCTGGGCTTACGGGTGGCCCTAGATAAGACGGAGGCCCTGTTATTTCATGGGCCCCGTCGTGGTCCACCCCCTGGCGCCTCAATCGTGGTCAACTCGGTCCTCGTACCGGTTCGGGCCCAGATGAAATATCTGGGCCTGATCCTCGACGGGAGGTGGCTCTTCGACGAGCACTTCCGACAGCTTGCTCCAAAGCTGGTCGGCGCTGCGTCTGCCCTAGGGCGACTTTTGCCCAATATGGGTGGACCCAGCGTCGCGACAAGACGGCTGTACACGGGGGTTGTCCGGTCAATGGCACTGTACGGTGCACCGGTGTGGGCGGCGGCTCTGACCGCCCAGAATAGGGTACGCCTCTGGCGCCCTCAGAGGGTAATGGCGGTCAGAGCCATACGCGGTTACCGCACCGTTTCGACGGAGGTGGCATGCGCGTTGGCCGGAACTCCCCCGTGGGATTTGGAGGCGGAAGTGCTCGCCGAAGTTTATCGGCGAGTGGCTGACTCTCGGGCGGAGAGCGGATTTCGCCCTCCGCCCGAGGATGTGCGCGAGTGGCGCGAAGCCGCTCGCCGAGCCACGATGGCTCGTTGGTCGTTCCGGCTGGAGACTCCACGCGCTGGCTTCGCCGCCGTGGAGGCTCTCCAGCCGGTCATCGCCGAGTGGGCAGGGTGGCAGCACGGGACCCTTTCCTTCCGGCTGACGCAGGTGCTTTCACTCATGCCGCCCTGAGTGTGGCCGCGGGTGGACGGGGTGGGTTTCCCCTCCACCCGCATTAGTTTGGCCAGCCGCGAGGGGGTGGCGTCCGCGTGTGCCGGACGTCGCCTAAAGAGAGGAAAATATATTGAGACGGAGCCCGCACCAGGAGCGGGCTGGCGCTAGGAGGGGTCCGGATGTCTTAACAACAGCTGTTCCCGGATCCCTCCTGTTACAGGCGCAGAGTGGCACACCGTGTGGTTTTAGTCGGTCCGAGTCCGACACACCACCCCGCCGTAAACCCCGGAGGGGTGACGGTCCGAGGGGATTTCCACACGTTAAAAAAAAAAAAAAAAAAAAAAAGGGTTTGTGTCAAGTTTTTCTTCTTTTTGCAGTGCCGATTTTCTGCGTAGTGTACTCCCTTAATCGACTCTTATAAATGGTTAAACTGGGGTGGTGATACTTTGTATTCATAATCCGTCACTACACAGGAAGTTACTTACGGCAAAACAAAAAAAATATTTTTGTGTCAAAAGCATTATAATTATAATGTTTGTATGAGCAGCAAATATTTGTTTCGAAGTTTTCTATGCATAAAATGTATGTGTTTACAAAAACAAGTATAAAAGTATTCTATCAGTCGATCTAGCTTTCATAGTACAAGCTCTGTTTAGTTTAAAACTAGATGGCGTTGAGTGTCAGATGTCTCAAGATATTATTATTATCGTCATTTTATTCATACGATATCCATCCTTTCCATCCATGCATTTATAGATTTCACTAAATGACGTTTCTTACTACATACATAAAGTTACGTCTTTATCCCCGAAGGGTTAGACAGAAGCGTGTTAAACGCCCTCATTTTGCCGGCTATAATTTAGCATCACTTAACTTATAGAGGGCAACTGCACTTATATGTATCTAAATAAACATATATTTATAAATACATACATATTATAGACAAATTACACCCAGTCACAGAACAAAATTAAATGATCGCAATCATCATACCATACTTGTTCTGGGAGAGAATTGAACCCACGACAGCTGGCTTAGCAGTTAGCATCGCTAACTACTAGGCTAACAGGTCCGTCAGTTTCTTACAAAAGGACGAATTGAAACTTTATTAAGTTAATTAAAAATATTATTAAATTTAGAAATTCAATGCTGTGTGAAAGAGACAAAAGCTGTAGTTTACTAAAACTGCCATGGGTGGGAATGTCTGGAGTGACTAATGATGTCTACTTAAACTACAGATGTCACTTAAGTATTATCCCTTAAAATAAGTCATAAAGTACCTAGAAAGAAGAGAAAATAAAATTGCAAAAGGCAAAGTACATCTTATTTCGGCACACTTATCAACACACGGCTGCTGAATCAATAGGGTCTAACTTATTACTTATCGACGCTATTATACAAACTTAAACACTCCATTTGGGACGGATTTTATATGTGACTAATAAATATATAAGGCCAAAAGTTTTTACTTTATAAGTAGAAACATCTGGCTCGTTTTCATAGACTGTACTTTTTTACTCTTATGGATTTCAAAACATTTGTCTTACGAATTACTTCTGTTCTGATGGGGTGTTGTGTTGATACAAGTGGCCTAATTGCAATTAATAATTCTTTTTCTTTATTTACCATTAGTAGGATTGCTTAAAATTTAATTTTAATTAATGCAATTAAAAGTAAAAGAGGGAAAATGGTTAGCCACTTAATAGACACGACAACTTCTTTTAAACAATACTGGAAGGAAAAATAGACCGCAAAAGAAAACGAGGAAGACCTTGATTAACGTACATACAGCGAGTAAAGGAGTACGTGGGAGTCGTAGCCTATCAAGAGGTGTAACAGATCGCCGTGAGTAGAGAGGAGATCCAACAAGAGCCTGCCCTTTAATTGAGAGAGAGAGAATGGCCTAATAATACCTTTCCATCCACTATATGATAAGGGTTTTCCTCGGATTACCAGTTGATTAGTTTTGTTTGGAATTGACGTGCACAAACGTCAATTTTTTCAATTAATGAATTGTTTAAGGAGTGAAGGATATGGATCATATTTACTAAAAAAACCTTCTTGGTTTTAATAATATTAATATTCGCTTCAATCGCCTCTATGACCTCAATGCAGACTACGTAAAGATTCGACCAATTGAGAATAGATGAAGTGGATTTTAGTGTCTTGACAGTTTATTCAACGAAGGTTACATTGGACTTGGAAACCTTTCAATTGTCGCGTTTATATCAAGAAATTTCAAACTGGAATTAGTTATCAATGTAACGTGTAGGGAACAGCAGAGCAGCTGGAAACTTTTGCGCTGGCATTAGTGTTGCGACCGTCGCGCGCTCTTGTCGCTTTCTGGCTTTACGCTAAACAATAAAATTATAAGCGATTCGTTTAAAAATAGCTTGGAGAGTTCGCCAAGGCGGTCCGCGAGCCGCAACTCCGTAGTGCTAGTCTGAAGGTCTGGAGGCGTGCGTTGCGCGCGCGCTACCACTCACGACTGCTCACAGGTTTGTCCTACACCTGTCTCACCTAAAGCAATGTCATTATCACTATTATTATAATACATATGGATAACAAAGCTTCATTCACCTCGAAGACCGCGCAGTTCACGCGGTCGTACGCACTTGTTGGCACGTGGCAAAGAAATGTTCAAAAACTGTGACAGAGTTAATTTTGTAGTTTAGCTGTGTGGTGTAAGTAACAGTGAATATGTTACAGGAAGTAATTAATGCCTTGGAAGTATGTTAACGGGTGAGGAAGTGACGGACACGCCCGCCAGCTGGGACTTTGCACGGGGATATTGTTAAACTAACTCGCACTTTGTTTGAGCTTTGTCTTTCGTCGATCACCATTTTTCTCACCATTTTCCGCTTGATAGCTCTCATATTTATTTTTACAGCGGTTTTCGATTTCGATCTTTATTTTAAAGTTTGTATCATATAATAATTGATTAATGTATAGATTCATTTCATTTTACTATATTTACACAATATCCGACTTGAATTGTTTGAAAACTTTTGTCAAAAAATCAGCTTCTTCTTTAGCCTAATTGAATTCATATTTTTCATTTAGTCTACTCATACTTTCCCATAGTACTCTTCTTTAATTTCACAGTTTGTTTAATAAGGTTTCCTTTAATATATTTTTAAATTTTTATACATATCTTTAATTATAATTTTCATGTTTAGACATTTTGGTGTTTACGTCAGTAGTTATACAATGAAGGTCATGTTATACTGGTATGTTTTAATACTCATGCTATGTAAACATATTTAAAGAAACATTTATAATTTAACAAGAAACATTATCCGAAGATTTTATGTCATTCTGAAAAATCTTCAGTTCTTCGTTCTTATTATAAATTGGAATGATGATAAAATTCGTTAGTTACGAGAATTATAGGATATTTATATATGTTGGCGTAGGCGAGGATATTTTGTAGCGTTTCACATCAGCGCAGACATTTTGCAATATCAAATCTAATTTTAAACAAGACATAAATCGCCTTACATCAATGAATTACTTAGTTTTTATGATTTTAAGATTTCAGAAATGATGATAGATACAAATATTTCTAAATACATACATATCCATAATAATATTATAAATGCGAAAGTGTTCATCGAAATATACATATGTGGAGTTAAGGTGAAAAGGATTAAAAAGGGCCTTAATTTTTTTTCGTGTCGAGTTTCAAACAACTTTTTAGAATGTTTATAGCAGTATAAAACATGCGTAGTTTGCCAAAGTATTCTTTGTTTAATTTTGTTTGTCTAGAAGGTAGATGTGTATTTATTCTGGGCATTATCTCTGGGATTTATTACATTGGGTACATTGCTGTCTCGTGAAATGATTAGCTACTACATTATTAATGTATAAATAAAATATTGTTTGGTTTTCCAATGATGTGTACTTTAATATCTTAGTTTAATATTTACAACATATAAACAGTTTTCATGGAGCAGAAATATAACGAAAATAGACCTAGAATAATCAACAATAACACAAGAGCACGTAACGAGACAGACAATGTTTTTAGTTTTCTTACGCAATTTAAAACAATATAAACAAAATAAGATCTTTTTGCGAGTCTATTTTATATTGTACCTCAATGTCACTAGTGTCGATTGCTTTCTTTAAGGGCCTGATACGGTCTAGTGAAGTCACTCATACGACCTAACTATAGGAAAGACGTATGTCAGAATACAATTTTTAACTTCAACTAGACATCTAGAAAGTACAAAAAAAACTAAGAAGAACAAGAAAAGACTTAAATAGATCTTTTAATAATTATTTTCATCTTGGTGTCGCTTGCAAGGAATTAAATTTTGCGATTCAGAAAGCTTCACATTTTATTTATAATTTATTTATATATGAATGTAGTATTTTTGTGTACACTCCAAAAACTCAAAAATTTCTGCACCGATTGAGCTCAAATTTTGACAGGATATACAAACCGCTTCAAATATTGTTTTTATCTTTTTCATGCGTCAATTTTGTTCTTCATTTCTCCTCAATGAAAAAATAATGTGCCCCAGCGAAGCGTATCAAAATACAGCTAGGAAAAAATAATCTTTTTGAATATTAGTTCACATCTAGACCTATACTAGCTACTAGCTTATCTCGAGTTATGGTTTCCAAAACATGAATAGACATAACTAGCTTCTATTATTTGTTCAAATAGGTGCATTTAGACAAATTTTACATAAAACCTTTAAATTACGAAGATAGCTTAAGAATCTTACTGTGCGTTAAAAAAATAATCTATCTTTCTTTTTATCTATACTATCTTAAAGCCGTACTAAAATTTATATTCCTCTTTTTATGCGTACACATGTATAATGGGTTACAAGTTTATTTTCTTGGAGTGTAATAGAAAAAAGTTCCGTGTTTCGGCTCGCTGCCACAGCTCAAACCATCAGTGATCTCATCGTTCGCTCACTAAATTCATAAAGTTAACAGACATGCACATAGTAAATTATCTTCTAGCCAAGGATTTTCATGAACTTTATAGTTCTAGTAATGAAAAAAGGTTGATAGGAAAAATATCTCGATTGCATAATAAATAATTTTCATGTTATGTGTAACACTTTTGTAAAAACAATATTCTAACAAATAAATAAATACTAATTATCATTATAATACTAGAGATTGCTCGGCAGTCGAATTTCGACCATTTTCAATTATTGACCAATATAACTAGAACTTTTGTGTCATTGCAAATAAAAATATGTACTGTTACCTGTATAGTTTACATAATTTTGAACGTGTTAGCTCTTCTTGATCAGAGAGTTCTTCCCAAACTAGATTGGGCTTTAATTTTGCTATGATACGACTGAACTTCGATATTTTATGACAAGCGACTGCCATTATACCTCCACAACCCAAGCACTGGCAACCGGGACCGATGAATGCTTAAAGTGCTCTCCGAGGAGGGTCTCGATGTGTTAAGAAATTGTCACCCATCCATAGACTGACATGGCTAGGATTGCTTAACTTTTGCCATGTGACAACCCACTAGCCCCTTAAATAAATACTGTCATGTATTAATATGTACATAAATTTACAACGAACTAAAAAAGGTGACCGCTCTGACCCGTCCAACTACAGGCCTATAGCCATAACTCCTTTGTTTTCTAAGATTATGGAATCCATAATCAACGGCCAGCTCCTCCGGTACTAAGATGATCACCAGCTACTCAAAGACCGACAATATGATTTTCGCCGGGGTCGCTCAGCTGGTGATCTTCTCGTCTTTCTAACACACCGGTGGGCACAGGCGATCGAGACCAAAGGAGAGTCTTGTGCGGTTAGTTAAGACATAGCGAAGGTCTTTGATCGGGTCTGGCATAAGGCGCTTCTCTCAAAGCTCCCTTCCAATGGGATTGCCGAGAAATTGTGAAATTGGGTCAACAGCTTCCTTGCAGACAGAAGCATTAAGGTTGTTGTCGACCTGGCATGCTCTGACTTGAAATTCGTAAATGCTGGTGTCCCACAAGGCTGTGTGCTATCACCCACACTGTTTCTTCTGCATATCAATGACGTGTTGCAAACTAGTAGCATCGGGATCGTATTTCTCGGGAAAACGTAATCGAGAGTCGTAATAAACTTGTGTCTGAAATTGAAACTTCCTTAGCGGAGGTTTCAGGTTGGGGCCGACTAAATCTAGTCCATTTTAACCCAAAAAAGACACAGGTTTGCGCGTACTAAAGATACCATTTGTCGTATCACCTCAGTTTGAGAGTACCTCCCTAACTGCCTCAGCCAGCATCAGAATCCTAGGCATCGACATATCGAGCGAAGTCCAGTTTCGGGGTCACTTAGAGTGTAAGGTCAAATTGGCCTCGAAGAAGCTCGGTGTGCTGAACAGGTCGAAGCAGTATTTCACTCCGGCCCACCGCCTTCAGCTCTATAAGGCGCAAGTCCGACCGCATATGGAGTACTGTTCTCATCTCTATACAGGGGCACCTCAGTACCAGCTTCTCCCTCTGGACCGCATCCAACGAAGAGCGACTCGAATCGTCGATAGCCAAAAGATTTGCGACCGGCTCGATTTCTTGGCGTTACGTAGAGATGTGGCTTCACTCTGCATTCTCTATCGCATATATCATGGAGAATGCTCCGAGGAATTGTTCCGACTAATACCAGCCGCAAATTTTCGCCATCGTTCCACACGTCAAAATTTTCATCCTTATTACCTGGATGGTTGGCGCTCCACTACTGTGCGCTTTTCGAGTCAATTTTTGCCCCGCACAACCAATCTGTGGAATGGGTTATCGTCTGCGGTACTTCCGGACCGATACGACCTTCAAACTTTCAAGAAAATAGCGTACTCCTTCCTAAAAGGCCGGCAACACCTTTGTGACTCCTGAGTTGCAGACGTTCATGGGCGGTGATGGTCACTTTCCATCAGGTGACCCGTCTGCTCGTCTGCCCCCTCTAACATAAAAAAAACTTCACGACAATACATACTAAAAAAAATATAATTGATTTACTTTATATATAGATAGGTCATTTAATGAGTATATTGCTGAATATCATAAATGATACACTTAACATACTTCATGGATTATAATTTGGGACTCAAATGCCACCTCATTTCATAGCATTTAAAACATCATTCATAAAATACCAAACAGCCTCAATAATTTTCTCCGTGTAATTTATACTATGAAATCGACAATCAATAGGCGGTGTCTGTGACCTCGTCTGGGTAGGCGCAGACAGGTGTGTTGCCGTGCATAGATCCGGCGCACGTGGAATTGTGTTTATGTTTACATTTCAACTGTTTGGTTTTCCTCATAGCCATGGAAGTAGTAAGGAAACGATTTGATGATTCAACTGATGATTGATTTACGGCAAGCTGATCGATCAAGGGCTTTATGTTTGACGGTCATAATGGAAACTTTATCCAAATAAAGGCTTTAGACTTTTTATCAAGTTTTTATCACTTTCTGCGGTTTTTATAGTAGTAGACGATATGAAGACTGTTTAATGTTTAAAGGTT